GAGGAAGGTTATTAAAGTTAAGGAACACTAACAAAATACACCGAAAAAAGAAAAATCTATATTTTACACATATAAAACTTCATGCATGAGCTTCCAGGATTTTTATATATATATATATATATATATATATACATATACACACACACACACACACACACACACACACACACACACACACAAAACAAAAACAGGAAAAAATTCCCAAACTATGAACAGCCTATAGAGTATCATGACTTTTGCCATTCCTGAGCGTCTCTTAAGAGAAATGACTGAGAACCATGGAACATTTTTATTGAACATACAAACCAACCATTTTAAAGACTGCTCAAAAATCTTGCGGCATTACAAAAGAGGGCGCAATCAAAAGTCAAGTCACCGACGTTGGCCACGTCTCACTTGTGATTTAAATACAAGTCAGAGCTTCTCATGGAAATGAGGCAGGACATTTCCCTGACTCTCTTCATCATATCTACAATCTGCTGGCCTTCCTCCCGAAGCACATCTTGCACCACTTTCTTCTGCGGGCCGCTCAGTGAAATGGAGGCCCGCCCGGGGGTGGCGGCAGCGCCACCGCCCAAGGGTGCGTCCTTCTCCACCTGCGTCTTCTGGTACTCCATCTTCATCTTCACCTGCTTGATGCAGATGTCCAAGTGACGGAGCTGTTCGCTCATGGCCTGCAGCTCTTTGCGCATGTCCATCTCACTGTTGGACAGGATGGGCAGGCGGCTCTGCTGGCCGGCCAGCCCGCGCTTGACACGCTCGGCCACGGCCTCCTGCCGGTACTTGGCATCCTCATACTTGTCGGCCAGCCGCTCGGCCGCCTCGCGCAGGCTCCGGCGCTCCTCTCGGTACTGCGCCATCTCCTCCAGCTGCTTGGCCCGCTGACCTCGCAGCAGCTTGATTCGCTTCTGGAGCTCCTCGCGCGCCATATCCTGCTTCAGGATGTACTCCTCGCGGAACACCTGCGTGGCTCGGCTCAGGAGCTGAAGGCGTTCCTGGGGGGACGGCTCCCCGTCGCCGGCCTGGACAAACAAAAAAGAATGAGACTTTTTTTTTTTTTTTAAACATCTGTTCTGTCACTTAGTCACAGAACACTTGCAGTGGTCCTCAAACTTTTTCTGCTAAGCCACGAAACAACAAAAACAAAACATTCCAAATAGAATCATTATGATCAAGAAAATTCAATGAAAATTTAAAATGTATGTCAAATATTTTGTAAGCTACCATCAAAGTTTTGTAGAGACTGTAAAAGATCCTTGGATTGTGGAATTTGGATTTGGAACGTGACACAGTTACCAAGATGTCCCGGATGAGATGAACAGTTCGAGGTTGGAGTTAGTTGATTAGACAAGAAATGTGGAAGCAGTTCAACATGTAAAATGTCCCTCCATTTGAGAATGTCGGTGTGAAATTTTGGAAACACGGTATGGGGAAAGTCAGAACAGTTCCCAAAATGTCCTGAGTAAGCCAAACATTTTAAAGCTGGAGCGCTCGCAATTAGTTTAGGAATGTCAAAGTAATTAACGATTTAGGGAATATCAAAGTAATTAATGATGTGTTGGAATGGTTTGAATCAGAAGAATGTGGAAGGAGGAGATGAACGTGTAGCATCTCTTAAATTGGGTATTCCAGTGTGAAGATTTCAGATTCAAAAACAGTTCCTAAGATGTCGTGAATGTGCTGAAGAATTTGGTTCGGTTTCGAAATGGTGAAAGAGGATACGGAAAATCTCTGTTAAATTTGGAAGTTTGATCGTGAAAAGTGTGCCACTTTGGGAGCGGAGGAACACGGAAAATACTTTGGGTCTCATCCCCTTGAATGGGTTCATTTTGAGACGCCAAAGATCATTTCTCACGGCTGGAACTTTTGTGAATCTTTTGAAGTTTGAGCCATTTAAATCAGCTGAGAAGGGGGAAGCGGGTGCGTCCCAAAAAGCGCAGGACGACCTAAACGGAAGTCTTGCCTTGAGCAGAAGTGGGTTGGCGGAGCCTCTGGCCAGGATGTTGCGGACGTGCTGCTCGAAGGAGCTTCCCGCCAGGCCGCGCAGAGGCGAGCTGACCGAGCCCGGGTTGGACTGCGTGCACAGCAGTGGGGGCGAGGGCGCCCGCACGGCGCTCAGCAACGGCAGCAGGATGCACTCGTAGGCGGCGCTGACGCAGATCATGGTGGCGCCCAGAGCGAGGTCCGCCACGATGAGGAAGCCCTGCACCGGCGCCGGGCGGCTGCTGGCGAGGGGCCGCGTGCATACGATGTGCTCCACGGCGCAGCGCCGCTCGGCGGCCAGCTCGGGCAGGCCATCCTTGTTGTCGTCGTGCGCTCGCAGGAAGGTCTGCAGCTTTTCCAGCCAGATGAGGCCCACGCTGTGCACACCTGCCTCGTGGGTGCAGTGGTAGCGCCGTGGGCACAGTGGGTCCCGGTGCAGCCGGATGGGGCAGGTGAAGTCCGACTCTTCCTCCGCGTTGTCGCCCGCTGCCACCCTCAAGGTGAGCTCCAGCTCCACGCACTCAAACACGTAGAGGGCCGGCACGCCGCCCGCTATCCACCTACGCTTGCAAAATAACGACAATGATCAAAAGTGGAAAAGCTCATGGGAATCCGTGCGACAATAAAACAGGACTTTTCAGGGCAAGAAACTTTCCATGGAGAAAAACAATAACTTGTGGGGAGGAAATGGAATTGACTAAATTGACTCACGTTTCAAAAGTTGGAAATAGTCCATATGAATTTGTGAAAATTGGCAGGACATCATGGGAATTAATGAGAACGAAGCAGGCGTTCTTAGAACCGAAATCCATGATATTTACAGACTTATACAAATTGGATGCTTTCCTGGCGAATTAACAGGAAACTTGGCCTGACCGATATGGATTTTTGAGGCGATTGGAAATTCAGATATTTGGCAGTTTAAAATGAGAATAACTAAACAATTATCTGATTTATATTTCCATGTCTTTAAAGACTCCACATAATCAATCTCAGGTACGTGTTTATTTTTTTTCCAACAGTTAGAGCAAAAAAGGGTATGAAAATGGCTGGCACGAAATGAGTCAAATTACACTCAATATCCACCCCGTGCCTGACTTACCACTGTATTCTAAACAAAACTTGTTGGACATGTTTCCGGAAATGTTCCACCCCTTCACAAGCCCTCCATCCCTACCTGGGCACCGTGTCGTCGTCATCCTCAGACTCCAGGACGACGCAGTGGTACAGAGTGCCCGTTTCCGTGGCGATGACCAGGATGCTGGGCACGCAGGGCAGGCAGAGGATGGCGCAGGCGTCGTAGCCGTAGTTGTCCTCGGCCGCCGGGTACATGGGCAGGGGCCCCACGCGCTTGCTCACGCTCACCATGTTCACTTGGCTGGTGTGGCACAGGTAAGTCTCGCCGTTCTCGTAGAGGATGTAGAGGGGGTAGACGGGCCTCTCCCTGACGTAGGACACCGGGCCGAAGTCGAAGGCCACGGCGATTTCCCCCAGCGAGGCCGCGTAGGAACGGGCTGGCGCCCGCACGCTGCCGTCGTCATCCGACTGCGACACGGGTACCACTTTGACAGGAGCCTCGGGGGCCTTCAAGCCGTAAAAGCGGATGGTGTTGTCGGACGTGAGGAGCACCAGCAGCGGCTCCCCGGTCTCGCTCGGGTACCAGGCCGCCTGCCGGAGACTCACCGACGGCGAGCTGGTGAAGAAGCGCTCGGCCACCGGGGTTGTTTTGCAGTTGACGCGGCTGCGCCCCCCCTCGAACTCGGACCGTTTGCCCCACCGCTGCGGGAGCTCCAGCACCGAGGCACCCCGCTGGCCCACGAGCGCGACGTGGCCGTGCGTGGGGCTGAGGAGGAGCTGGCACACCGGGAAGCGAGGCGGGTTGATGCACAGCAGCGTCTGGAAGCTCCCGCCGAGCTCCTCAGCCGCGTTCAACTGGCGCAAGCTGGTCGTATAAAACACGCGGTCCACGTCATCCCACAGGAAAAAGTCGGCGCCCAAACAAAAAGTCAAGTTCTTCGCCAGCGCTCGCTCGGAAGTCTTGGGCTCCGAGTCCAACTTGTCGCGTATTTTCTTGAAAATTTCGTGATTTGCCAAGCCGTTGAGCCAGCGGTCTGCGCCGAATGCCGCCATCTTGATCGGTCAACAAATGGGATGAGGCGGGGCATCCTAAGCGTGATGTATACATAGACCAAGACACGATCGGATTGGCCGTTAGTGCGATACGTCAGCGCGTTTGCCATATTTGATGGGTTACATGTAACGCAAATTATTTGCCAGAATGTCATTCAGCGACAATTTACAAAGGTGGGTCGTAACCGGGGTTGTAATTGACTAGTTTTGACATTTGTTGTTTAATTTCAGTTAGTTTTAATTACTTTGGAGAGCCGTTTTGTTTCATTTTAGTTTAGTTTTTATTCGGTTCAGCAGTGTATTTAGTATTTGAGGTTTTTTTTTAAATACATATAGTTTGTCAAGTGTAAGATTTAAAAAAAAGGTCACTGGGTGTTAGTGGTGTCCGACACAACTTTTTCACTTCCAATACAATACTGATATTGCATTTTATAGTCCCGTCCGATAGTGATATCAATCCAATGTATCAGCAGGAATTACACATACATACATACATACATACATACATACATACATACATACATACATACATACATACATACATACATACATACTTTTATTTAATTTTTAGTATGTAACGTTAGAAGAGACTTGATCAAGGGAGAGTGGCTGCCTTTACAGCAGCTCCTATACTTTTTGTTCTTCTAATTTCTTCCTTTCATAACTTTGCTGCTGTAAATTGGGAATATTTCCATTGTGAGACGAATAAAGGTTTTCTTATTCTTACGCACGGTCCCCCCAGGAGAATGCAGTCACATTTCCACATCCAATATGTCGGAGAATTTGACGAATGTTTCAAAGACTAATCTGATATTCCTTTCACTCATTGCCTCTGGGAAGCGCTTTCCGGTTTTACGACAGACGTCTGCCGCATTGCGTCGACCGGTGTCGTGCTGTAATTTGCAGAATCACCATGGCGTTGAGGGAGACAGCGGGGCTGTACGAGACGCTGAAAGCTGAGTGGAACAAGAAAAGCCCCAATCTCAGTAAATGTGGCGAACTACTCACGAAGCTCAAGGTACAGACTTATGATAGGACTGTTATTGTTGAAGTGTTGGAGTCGAACCTGTATCGCGCGTTTTCTTTTTTACGGCTACCATTTCGCTAGCTACGTTAGGTATCAGGGCTAAACTTGCTAATTTCCGAAAACGCTGAGAGTTTATGTGGTACATGTTGAAGCTTGACGTTGTAATTAAAACAAGGAAAGTAGTATTTGGTAGTCTAGTTATCAAAAATACGCACAAACGCACCAAAAGTGTTGTAGTGAGCGTTCAAATGTTTGCACTTTGTTTATTATGTCGTTGACTTCGCAACTGTCATTCAAAAATAATCACACTGATACCATTTTGTCACTCTCAGTTTCTTGTATCGATCGATTTATTAATTTTTTGTCTCTACTTTCCAATATGTTGTGATCGTGACATATCTTAAAATGTTTCGCGTACGTTTGTATATCACGGTTATTTATATACTTACCTCTTTAAACGAATTATACTCATATGGCTGTAATAATTACAGTGGGGCTAAAAAGTACCGGTATATCGTCCCACCAATTGTGCCAGCTCTCCCACATAAAAAGATGAGAGGCCTGTAATTTTCATCAGAGGTCTACCTCCACAATGAGAGATAAAATGAGAGAAATAAATCTGGGGCTCCACGCAAGATCTCACGCCGTGGAGTTAAAATGATCACAGGAACGGTGAGCAAAAATCCCAGAACCACACTGGGGGACCTAGTAAATGACCCGCAGAAAGCTGTGACCAAAGTAACAAAAGCCACCATCAGTAACATACTGTGCAACTCAAATCCTCCAATGTCACCCTGCTTAAGCCACTGCCTGTCCAAGCCTGTTTGAAATTTGCTAGAAAGCATTTGGAGGATTCAGAAGCGGATTGAGAGGATGGCATATGGTCAGATGAAACAAAAATAGATTTTTTTTGGTAACAACTCCACTTGGCGTGTTTGGGGGAGAAAGAATACTGGGTTGCATCCAAAGAACGCCACCCCTACTATTAAGCATGGTGGTGGAAAGATCATGCTTTGGGGCTGTTTTTCTGAAAAGAGACCAGGACGACTGATCCATGTGAAAGAAAGAAAGAAAGAATGAATGAATGGGGCCATGTATCGACAGATTTGGAGAAAACGGCATTAAAGATGAAATGCGGCCGTGTCTTTCAGCATGACAACGATGCCAAACACACCATCCGGGTAACGAAGGAGTGGCTTCGTAAGAAGCATGTCAAGGTCCTTGAGTGGCCTGGACGGTCTCCAGATCTAAACACCATAGAAATTTTTTTCTGACCCAATATTTATTTTCCACCATAATTTGCAAACAACTTCTTTAAAAATTAGACAATGTGATTTTCTGGATTTCCCCTCCCGCCCCACATTTTATCTCTCATAGTTGTGGTATACCTACGATGAAAATGACAGACTTCATCTTTTTAGGGCGGAGAACTTGCACACCTGGCGGCTGACGAAATACTTTTTTGCCCTGATGTATATTTCAGGAAATATGATGAATGTCTGCTTATTTATAATGTTCCGTATATTTATAATACCGTTTACCGCCTCATAGGTGTCATTACTGGAGCTGAACTTTCTACCCACAAGTGGCTCCACGTTCACCAAGCAGCAACTTATTTTAGCGCGTGAGTATTTTCTATGTCAGTAATCGATATAAATTCAGATCTATGATGAACCTGTCATTTTTTTCCCCTCTCTCTCTCCCTCCAGGTGATGTTCTTGAAATTGGAGCCCTATGGAGTATCTTGAAAAAAGACATCCCCTCCTTTGAGAGATACATGGCTCAGCTCAAATGCTACTACTTTGACTACAAGTAGGATTTATCTCTATATATTTTTTTAAAAATCCTTAAAGCAGTATTTTACATACTTTTTGAGCCAGATTTACTCACAAATTGTGAAATCTGAGCCTGTTTAGTTGAATGCAAAGCTCTTCTGTTGTATGAATGGACCTTCAGCCATCGAGTGGAAGAGCATTGATCGTTCTGCCTTTACTTTACAGGGAGGAGCTGCCGGAGGCGGCCTACATGCATCAAATTCTGGGACTCAACCTGCTCTTCCTGCTCTCGCAGAACCGCGTGTCCGAATTTCACACGGAGCTGGAACGGCTGAGTGCGCGGGACATTCAGACCAATGTGTACATTAGGCATCCTGTGTCCTTAGAGCAGGTAAAACTCTGATTTGTTTAGTTTTTTTTCTCCCCGAACATTGTTCCGTTTCCTCATGTGGCCATTGAAACACCATGTCTGGAAGTATACTGTAAATACTAAAGGACAAAGTATTTTAAAACAGTAAAGGATTTTTTTTCCTTGTAAGCATTAAGGGACCAAAAGTGATGTGATTTTATTCGTCTATTTTTTTAAATTAATCACTCGATTAATCGTGATCAATTAAAAAAAACCTCAACCTCGGTTCCTGTACAAATGCTGTTGGTCTCTCGTGGTCTCTTCCAGTATTTAATGGAAGGAAGCTACAACAAAGTGTTCCTGGCCAAAGGCAACATCCCGGCAGAGAGCTACACCTTTTTCATCGACATCCTGCTCGACACCATTCGGTAAGGAAGGCCTTGGGAACCAGCAGCCAATGGATTCTTCTCATCTGTTTCAAATCACCCTCGAGGAGAAAAGAAACAGAGATACCTTGACTCACAAGTGCCCATATTAGGAATTTTTCATGTCGAAAGCTGTTGCATCTTTTTTTTTCTAAAGCAATTTTGAGTTCATTTCTTCAAATTGTGTGTTTTGTTTTATTATGTATTTATATTTTACAATGCACTCCTCATTTGAAAGCGCAACAAAAACTTTCGGATGCTGATTTGACTTGTGAGCTTGGTTACGGAACAAATAACACTCTTCAGGTACCATTGCACGGTGAACATGACGATGATGACCAAAAAAAGCTTTTTTTTTTTTGTTCACGCAGTGACGAGATTGCCGGATGCATCGAGAAAGCCTACGAGCAGATTCAGTTCACCGAGGCCACACGTGTGCTTTTCTTCACGTCGTCAAAAAAGATGACCGATTACGCTAAGAAGGTACCCGTGCTTTTATTGATATGCAAATACAATATGACCACCCTCACCAGGAGGTGCTGTCGACCACAAGTCACACCCAAACGCTCACAGACTAACCGGCCAACCCGATTCCAGCTCCTGACATAATTTTTGTAGCAATTTATGCTCCATATATGCTAAAAAAAAACCTCAACCAATGGCTGTTTTGAAAGCATGCCACTTACCCAAATGTGTGCTGCCGTTGTCCTTCAGCGCGGCTGGAGCCTGAACGCGGCCGCTTGCTACTCGTTCAGCAGTCAGCAGCAGCGCACGGAAGAGGTCAGCATCCCATCCACAGAGTTGGCCCAGCAGGTCATCGAGTACGCCAGGCAGTTGGAGATGATCGTCTGAACCAACCCGCGATATGGGACACAAGCTTTCCTTTCAGATTATTATTGCCTTTTTTTTTTTTTTTTTTTACTCCAACTTGACAAAGTTTACTGTCTTTCTACGATTACACGTGATGTCGTACGTCTCGCAAAAGTCAAACAGTACTCCTAATTGTAATTAACTTGATTAAAAAGAGGAAAAAAACAAGTTGTTTTTTTTACTTTTTCATGCCGTGGCTCTTTGCAACTAAAATCCCACCATGTTTTTGTCAATTGGAGGCAAAATATGTTGTTCTCTGCCTACCAAGTTATTTTGAAGGAAGGAAAGTAGAATCTATGGGTGCATGAATAAAGACCACCTCTAAGGGGGAAGGCAGGAAGCAACGAAAGAAAGGAGTTCAAAAAGGAAGGTAGAATTTTATCTTAAAATCAGGAAAGGTGTAGCCATGTATGAGTGAAAAGCAGCTATGGGGGAAGAAAAGCAATAGGTTGCGTGAATAAAAAATGAGTGAAGGAACTAAGGTTTGAAATTAATAAAAGAGGAAAAGGGATGGCAGAAAAGTGACAGGATAGAAGGATGCATGAATTCAAGTGAGTGAGGCAAAGGAGGCAGGAAGAAAAGAAGGTGGGAGGGAAGAGAAGAAGGAATCAATGACGGGAGGCATGAATAGGGAAGGAAGGCAGAAAGTTGTTTTTTGCACAAAAAGAGATGACAGGATGCTTAAAGAATGTGTCGGATGGAATGAAGGAAAGAAAAGGCAGAAAAGTAAAAGATGATTTGAAGGAAGGTGTCATGAAAGACAGCAGGAAGTACAAATGCATGAATAAAAAAAACAGGTCTGGCAGAAAGAAGGTCGGAAGAAAAGGAATGTGAAAAGAAAGCAAAGACGCACATACAAAAATCAGATCTGAGGGACGGAAAGAGGTCAAGAAGGAATACAGAAGCGTCCGTTTCAGCGAAGGAGGCAAGGATGCAAGAGCAGGTATGAGTGAATGAAACAAGGAAGGGTAAAGCGCCTTTGAGGGTCGGAAGGATTTCACAGCCTACCATATCGCTACTTTTGTCCAATTTGCCATCTTCATCCTGTTGAGTCGCTGACCGACGCTGTCCATGGTCCTGCTATCTCATCGATCCTGTCGCGCGCACAGGCCCGCTCCACGCGTTGCCATCCCACTCGTGCACGAGCCTGTCAATGATTAGTGCGGGATGTGCAGCAGGTAGCGCGGGAGAGAGAGAGAGCGAGAGAGAGAAAGAGGAGAGGGAGGGAGGAAAGGACCGAGGGAGGGAGGGAGGATGCTGCCAGCGGAAAATGGCTGCTGCAACCTCCAGCCTGTCCTGATCGGCCGAGACAACGCCGAGGAGGCCCCGGCGGAGAGGCCGACTGCGGGGAGGCAAGCGAACGGATGCGGGGACGATGTGAGCCCCATCGGCGTGTGTTTGCTGCGAGGAGGCTGAGCACAGTGAGAGGAGAGCCCGAGGTGGGCTCCGGGGAGCGGGCAACGGCAAGCCATGGAGGGCGAGTAAGTCCCCCGGAATGAATCACGCTGTGTGATTTTTAAAAAAATTATTATCGTCATGACTAAAAAGCAAACAAACGTGCGTCCATGTGTGCGGGTGCTTTCTCCCTATTATTTGGTGTTCCAAAAGACGCCTACATGTCCATTAACACGTCATCTATACATGAATGAAAGGAGACTTCCATGAAGCGCGAGCAGGCATTAAGAAATAAGTCATAACGATCAAGGCGTTCTGTGTGAACTAGACAGCTTGACATGATGGAAAGAGGTAGGCACAGATGAATGAACAAGGAACAGGTTGTATCAACGTGTCTCGGCCTTTCATTATGATTTTTAAAGCCAAACTTTATGAATGAAATGTGATTCCCCTCCCCTTTCTCCCCTCTCCCCCCTCCTCTCCCACCGCACATCCTCCCTATCATCTCTCCTCCCCCCCTTAATCGCTCCCTTTTATAAAAAAAAAAAAAAAAAAAAAAAAACCAGCAACCTCGCCTTGTTTTTCGCTCCATTCATAAAAAAACCCAACATGTGTGTCTTAATGGCTGGCAGGAGCAGGGCGGGATGGAAGTGAGGAAGGAGAAAGGATGGGGGGGAGGGAAGGGAGAAATAAAAGCGTCGTCTGATGGAATTATCGCGATGTTTCCTGACGCCCCCCCCCCAAAAAAAACGTTCGTGCGCACACGCCGTTCATTGATGTTTTTAGCTAGGGAAACACGAATTCTTCCTTTTGTTGCCATTTTATCGCCTTGCACTTGAACGTCACATTTGCACACGCATGCACGGGTTGTGTTCGGAATCATTCATTCATACCCCCGAATTAAGTCCTATATGGAGATTTGGGTACAGTGCATGTTATATGGATAGTGTAATCGGGCTGAATGATTTTGAAAAATAATCTAATTGCGAGCCCCCAAACCCCCCCATTATAGAATTGAGATTTAACATGATTTTTTTTTTTCCAAGGTCCTCTTCCCATATATATTTTTTAGCAAACACAAACAGCAAACTAATCTGTATTACAAATTGACAATAAACAATATCACACTTATTATACATAAATGTTTCTGGATGGGCGGCCCAGTGGTTAGCGCGTCAACCTCACAGTTCCAGCTCCGGCCTCCCTGTGTGGAGTTTGCATGTTCTCCCTGGGCCTGCGTGGGTTTTCTCCGGGTACTCCGGTTTCCTCCCACATTCCGAAAACATGCATGGCAGGCTGATTGAATACTCGAAATTGTCCGTAGGTGTGAGTGTGAGCGTGGATCGTTGTTTGTCTCTGTGTGCCCTGTGATTGGCTGGCAACCAGTTCAGGGTGTCCCCCCACCTCATGCCCGAAGGCAGCTGGGATAGGCTCCGGCACCCCCCGCGACCCTTGTGAGGATAAGCGGATCGGAAAATGGATGGATGTTTTTTTTTTTGGATAGCAGCCTTATTGCAGCCTTCAGGATTTGAAATTTGCATTGTACTACATTGCAATGTCAACTTGAACACGATTAATTGTTCAACCGTACGCACTGTAAAAAATGTATTTTTTGGTCTGAAACAGTAATTTAAGTTGGAAAACTAAAACATAAATTACTGACATTAATTGCAACAATGTATAGTTCAGGCCAACAAAGTAAGCAAGGTGTTTTACTCATACGTTATATGTATTGGACAACCTTTCCAAAACCCATTTCTTTTTTGTGAAATGCAAAAAAAATTTTTTTCAACAAAGTTTAAAACATTTAATTGAATTCTTCAACTTAAAATGTTATCGAAATCTTGAGGTCACATTACATTTTTATTATTATTATTATTATTATTTTATTTAACAATGGATAGTGGACCACATAGTTCACTCAAATTTTTTGTGGTCACTACGGCATAGCAATTGAAATAAATGGAAATGCCATAAATGCGTCAGCCTACCAAAAAAAAAAAAAAAAAAAAAAAAAAAATTTTTCCAAATGTC